CACAAGGTTGTGAGTTCAATCCCAGCCAGGGGCTCAGGGTCGACTCAGTCTGGCATTCTTCTGAGGTCAGTAAAATGAGTACCCAGCTTGATGACTGCAATTAGGTTACAGTTGTAAACAGTTTAGAGACTGTTTAGTGTGGTATGAAGTGGTATATAAATGAAGCTGCCATTGCTAGTGCTTCTCAGTGCACTGCTGATTTCTGGCACAAGAAGTCTGGACACATCATCCTTCAGTGCCCTGCTCACCAACATTTTCAGAACTCTGTCCTTCAGTGCAACAGGCTGGATTTTAAGGTGAATTTCAGGGGTCAAATTGGGAGACAGATTGTAGCTGCTATGTGTCTGATGCAGGGTCTTCACTTAAGTAACACTTTGCAACATGTGGCTTTGTTCCTATCATCTGAATCTGCATTTGACACATATGCTAATAGTGGTACTTGGAGTGTGGCCTTGGAGAACACAGTTCAGTGTTCATTACACACACTTGCAGGCTTTCAAAGAGGCCCTGTGCAGAGATTGGACTTGATGTATTATGCATGCAAAATGTGCCCTCTATCACTGAGCAAGAGCAGGAGCTTGAATGAAACAAGTTACAAGCAATGCAATGTTATCAACAATGGGTTCTCTTATAATAAAATTACCTCTTCATATATAAAAAAGTAGGAAATAATCTATTTTATTGGGGCAGTGAGAATATCGCCTTGTTATATTTCAAATTCACCTTTAATTGACTTTAAGAGGTATTTTGACAGGGACAGTGAGACTGTTTCAAAACAGTAATTAATTATTAATTTAATGAATTGTTATGGTAATTGTAATTGTGAAAGCAGCTTGATATAGTGGTTTGAGTATTGCATTAGGATTCTGGCAAAACAAAATTCAAATCCCTGCACAGCCATGGAAACCCACTGGGTAACTCACAAATCACACTCTCTCACTCTCAGAGGAAGCAATGACAAACCTCCTCCAAATAAAGCTTGTCAAGAAAACCCTACAATAGTTTGCTTTAATTGGGAATTGACTTCAAAGCACATAACTGTCACAATCACTTTTGAAAATTATTTTCCTTTTATGACAGCATCATGGGCCTTTCAACCCCACTGCTGTCCCACTTTGTGCAGTGACAACCTCAGTCACTTTAAATATTTCCACTCAATGGCACCTATGGGTGGATTGGACTCACTCCTTTAAATTTTCTCATGGGATTTAACCCCAAACTATATTTTAAAATGTTGGTAGCGTCTTTCCTTATTTGAATTCCAGATAAGCCTTTATTAAAACAAAGATATAAATTTATTTGAAAGTTAACTTGAACAATGTATCACCAGTATGAGATGGTTAATACAGTTGATACTTCATGGTTTTGCTTTATTTGTTACGCGTTGTTACAGTTATAATGATAAGTTATAATATATGTATACCTGGTAGTTACATTAACTCCACAGTAAAGCCAACTCTTTAGGATAATATGTTCTATACGTAACTTATTGTTTTTGCTTCACTTTTTACTTTAGATGCTTCTCTTCAAAGAACACTCCGTAGTTATCCCAGGACCCTCTCAGACTTCCTTTGGATACTTTGTATAGCCTATTCCTAAACCAGCCACCAAGGCTCTTTGTATCCTTCAGGATACTTTATATCCTTCAGTAACTTCCCCTCGGAGTTCTGTTATTTACTGAGTCCCTCACTAACTAACTCTAACTGCCACTAACTGACTCCAACTGTCCTATGTATCCTCTCCTAATTTCAATCTGATTGGCTGGCACCTGCCCCTCCCAACTGGATGTTGCCAGAGCTTCTCTCCCCTTGCAAAACTCAATCTTCTCTCCACAATAACAAGTGGTAATCTGAATTAATGGATTTCAATTGTAATGAATTACACAATTGTAATGAATAATCTTAAAAACACTATGATGAGATGAGCAATGGGAATAATTTACTTCTAGAAAGTAACTCTGGTAGTAACTTTGGAACAATCTTTCTTCTTAGCTCAACCTATCATTCAGGTTTCATTTCAAGATAAAATGGTAAAGAAACAATGCATGTGATCCTGAGCTTCTTGAGAAAAGGGTAGGATCAAATGTAATAATCACACTTCAAAGGAATTAAATAATAAACACACATCTTGTACTCCAAAGCAAATTTCCCACTCTTTATGCTAACAGTTATAACAGTCTTAAGTCACCTGCACTGCAATCTTTAAAGCTATTTCCTCACTGCTGCCATTACTATTTCATCAGTCAGACTTATTCACAGCTCAAGGCTTGATTTCCCTCTTCCCCAAGGCATGATTTCTGAGACTGAAAATCAAACAGAAGGAAAGGGAATTTGTGCATTTACGATGCACAGTTTGATTATGCCCTTCATCTCGTCCTTCATCTGTTGTGTATCTACTTAGAGGCTAAATGATTTTAAAAAGAGATTTACCTTGCTGTTTGTTTCAACAGACCCTTGAAACAGCTAGAACCAAACACTCTGTATAAATCTATCAGGCAATTTGACAGATAGAATAAAATAACTCATTCTTTTTCCTAGAGTACAAGGTGTTGGTTTTCACCTTTAAAGCCCTACATGGCTTGGGTCCAACTTATCTTCGAGACCGCCTCCTTCCCTATGATCCTCCCCATGCGCTTCGGTCCTCTGCCCCCAGATTATGGAATGGCCTGCCGGATGAGATCCATCTTACTACTACTCTTGACGGCTTTAAAAAAGCAGTAAAGGCGGTTCTCTTCCAGCAGGCCTTCCCTGAATAACATCCCGGCCCAAAGAAAAGTATAAGGAGATGACAATGATTCCAGCTCTTTTGTTGCTAAACTGCTATTTATTTGTACTGTATTATTTTCTTTTATTTAGTATTTTAATTTTGCTATAGTTTAATATATTTTTAAGGGGTGGGTGAGTTAGGGAAGGGGTTGTTTGACTGTTTTAACTTGTAATATTGTTTTAATCTGCTGTATGCCGCCTCGATTGCACTGCAGAGAGGTGGCATAAAATTAAATTATTTATTATTATTATTATTATTATTATTATTATTATTATTATTATTAAAGGAAAGCAAATTATCCTAAGGACTTCTCTTCCCCCCTTCCCTCCCTGAGGTCATTTTCTTTTTATCCTGCTCGTCTAAGAAAAAAAATTGCTGTGAACAGGATTCTAATGGTGTGGCATGCTGACTTAACTACTCTGATGTAGGTTGTGAAAAGCCACAGATGCTATGGCTGTAGAGGAAGTAAGGCACTGCTCAGAGTTAGATAATTTTGTCTGCCTTCCCTCACAACTATGGCATGATCATAGAAATAGTCCAACCACTTGTGCAAATCAATACCAGAATTCTTACTTGTACCATTCATTCAATTCTTAAATAATGTTTATCCTTGCTTAGGACAGATGGTGTTGATGGACACATGAGCTGCACAGGATCACTTGTTAAGCCTCCTTGCCTGTAAGTGTACTCATGTAGCTAACTCTGTGGATCCAGTAATTTATGTTGGCACTTACACTGCTTATAACTTTGCCACCCTTGATTTACTAGCTAGTAGAGAAAGAGAAGTTCATTCAGTTTTATGATTTTGAACCAATATATGAAGCATACTTTACTTTCTATACAATTTATACTTTAATGAATTTTGCAATTGACTTTCCCAATAAAAATGTATACAAACATTCATATATGCCACAGGTCCCAAAGTGCCCAAAAATATAATATTTAAAGTGATTTTACTTGGAAAATTTGGGTAAAACCTAGTAGAAAAATATATTGTAAGATATGAAATATGTACAAAAATGTCTGCTGATTTTTCATAACAATGTTTACAATTGTCATAGTTCAGGACAAAGCCTATCTCATGATGAATAAACCCTTAAAAGGTCAGAATGGGTTGAATATTTTGGAAGTGAAAAATAAACCCTGAAATTGACTGATCAATCCCTGCCAGCAGAATAAAAGAAATGAATTATATATTTCCATACATGTTAATATCATGGTTCTGTAATTTTGGTTAGTTGGCACAGGAATTCTTTAAATTCTTAAAGACAATGATTTAAGGAAGGTCTGGAGGGCAGTGAAGGCCAGCCACAGTGTAGTTCTACATGCAGAATGATGACACTACACTGGTCTTTAAAGGGTTGTAGCCCATATATGTTTTCCCCCATCTTCCTCATGGGAAATGTAACATACTTCATAGTAGCATCAAACCATGAGTTTCTCCATTCATACCTTCTATTAATGTGTGAAGAGTCATAGAGCTGAAGCACATGACCTGGCCCAAATCATGCCAGGACCACTGCAACTGCACTGGTGCTTCCAAAGTGGGCCACTGCCACAGGCCCCAAGCTGGCACTGCCAGGAGTGGATTATCTCTGCTCTTTTTGGAGCCAGCTATTAACCCCTTAGAGCAGCTTTGGTATGGCTTCCAGACACTTTGGGGTGTGTATCATCTAAATGCCATGCCCCCAAAGTGGATGGAAGCTGCCTTATTTGCCCCATGAATTTTGGCCCATAGTCTCTGATGTCCTGCCACATATGTTATCCATCTTGAAGGAAGTGAGCAGAGACCAATAGGGAATTTAGTGTATCCACACCAACTATAACATTCACTGGAAATGTTGAACTTGAAAAGTGAGAGCCAGTGTAGCATAGTGTTTTGAGTGTTGGTCTGAAACTCTGGAGATCAGGGTTCAATTCCCCACTCAGCCATGAAACCCACTTTCAGCATGTCACATGCTTTC